GGGGGGAAGAAGAACGAACTGGGGAGGAGGGTAGAGAAAACAGTGCAACAATGAATGAATGAAAACCCAAAATCTCTGTAAATGTTCACTAAAACTAATAAAATTTAATTAAAAAAATGGTTCCTAAATACATCCTGATGATAAGGATTAGTGGCCTTGAAGAGGCAAACAAACCAAGCGTTTATCGAGGCTAAAGTCTGGAGAGCGTGCTGACGCTTCCACCTGTGAGGAGGTGAGACAGTCACCTGAAGCACTGGTTGCCCCTTGTCCTTACTTTTCACGTCCACCCTGCAGTCCACAGAGGCCTCTCCCAGGGCATTAACAGCCTTGCAGGTGTAGATGCCCCCGTCGCAGGGACCAGGCTTTCGGATTTCTAGGGAGCAGATTCCCAGGTGGCTGAGAGCTCTGTACTTGGGGTTGCCCTGGATTTCTATCTTGTTCTTCAGCCAGATGATCTTGGGCTGGAAGAGAAAAAGGAGCAGACAGCAAGGGGCTGTAAACCATAGCTCTGGCTCGGATGAGCCTGGGAAGCCATGGAGCACAGCTCCTGGAACTCCCCACAGCTCGTACTCAGTACCTGGACTATAAGACTTGGCCTACAAGACCTGGAGACAGACCAGCAAGGGGAGCCAAGAAGGCTTTCAGAGCAGATGGCTAGAGGACTCTAGAGGAGGAGATACTGGCATTTCGGGGTTTCCCGCCCTTATGTGTGACAAGAGGTTTTCCTGCCAGAATTCTCATCAGTGTCTTTCTCAGGCTCCCTCACTGGTGGTGACTCTAGCGTCTGATGCTTCAACTCCATCAAGTCCCTCTGGCTGCCCTGCCCTGTGCAGCAACCTCTACATGGAACACAAGCACCGGGTATTGGAAATCACCTTTTTTTTAAAAAATATATTTTCACTGTGAATTGAACGTATTCTGTGCCCATCATTGGCTTGTGTGCCATGCCTGTCCCCCCCACTAGAGTGTGATTATCTACAGTGGGTTTATTCATATTCTCTTCTGAAGTGCTATCCCGGCACAGGATTTATAGTGCAAAAGGTAGATATTTCATTCCATGTTTGGAGTGAAGTGACTAGTTTGCTAATAGACACAGAGATTGAAAATAAACTCAGGATTGTGGCCAGACTAAACATTAGGCAGTTTGCCTGTACGTATCCCCAGTCAAGGGGAGGGTAGGTGGACAGGGATGGAGAAGCCCCTAGGATTACATCATCCCTTCCAGAAAAGCTGCCTGAAGCTCATGTTCAGTTACCAGCCGATCCTTTGTCTCTGAGGAATAAAACATAAAGAAACAAAACAAAAACAATGCACCAAAACAAAACTGGACACATCATTTACATCAAGCTGTCTTGGGCCTCAATTGCCCTGATTGTGTCTGTGTGGCTGACAGAAGATGGTGTTGGGAGCAGATGCAGTGATGAGACGGCTTTGCGACAGAGCGACAGTCAGACAAGCAAGGAACAAGGGCAGCCCAGCCCCCTCGGCCCACTCACCTTGGGAGAGGCTCGGACACAGCAGAAGAGCTGGGTGTCGTAGCCTGTGACTGTAGTGCAGTCGACCAGAGGCTGGGTAAACTTGGGGGCTTCAGAGAAATCTCGCTGGGCAAACTCCTCGATCTTGAAAACAGTAGCTAAGGGGATCAAGACAGGTCACAGTCTAATCCCTGACCTCCTTCAACGCTTCATCCTTTGCCTTTGCCAGCTTGGACTCTCCACATTTTTTACCTGCTTTCCGGATGTGGGCAAGATCAGAGGTGACGGTGGCTGTCTCACTGAGCCCACACTGGTTTTCAGCAAAGACCCGAAATGCGTAGGAGTTGCCGATGATGAGGTCAGAGACGGTGTACCTGGTGCAGTGATAGTGCTCCAGCACCGTGAACCACAGCTAAAGGCGGCAGGAAGAAGCCGTGACTGAGACGGCAGTGCTCGGTTCACCTCAGCCCACCCGCGAAGTTAGCAGGCTCCCAGGGCAGAAGGCTCTCCCTCCTTCCCAGCAGCTCCTCACCCCAGATTTTGAGTCAGCCTTCTGCACTGTGTATCCCAGGAGTGCTGTATTGCCCGTGTCTTGGGGAGGAGTCCACTCCAGTGTAGCATTGAAGCCCCAAACATCTACCAACTTGATATTCTGAGGTGGGCCTGGCTTCTCTGAAAAGGCAAAGCCGTAACATTGGGCACGGAGCAGGCTATGTGTGTGGAAATCGCTTCTCGAGTGTTCCATGCCCCATCCTCTGCTCTATTTCCAGTAGCTGTTTGCCCCTTGCCCACCACTCGGACTCAGTGTGGGACATCACGCTAGGTTTCCTAGCTCTCTTTGACGGTTCCTATTCAGCCTGGAAAGGAATCCCTTGAAGACCACAGAAGACCACTCTATCTCCCACTCCCTCACCAAACCCCATACCGATCACCAGGATGTCAATGGTGGCGATGGCCTCCAGGCCGCCCAGCTGCACACTCAGCTGGTAGCGGCCTGAGTCAGCACGCTGGGCTTCGCGGATGAAGAGGATGGAGTCCCTGTCCCCGTTCCGCACACTCACACGACGGGCATCCAAGGCCTGGCCGTCACGCGTCCAGGTGGCTCGAGGGTTGGGTTTGCCCTGTGAAGTGGGGACAGTTATGGCCATTAACACCCCCAAATTTTTAACCTCCCCATTTCTGTGGATCCGGCGTCAGACCCACCCCAAATCCACATGGTAACTTGACTTGTAGCTGAAATTTCTTGAGTTAGAGGAAGTCTCCCAGTGGGCTTTTAGCACAAAACCTAAGGGTCATGGGAAGGAGGATGGTTTTGAGTCCACCCACAGTGAACTCTGAAAACCAATATGGGATCAGTGAGACTGCCTCTGTCCCTTCCAACTTTGTCAGCTCCGCTAGAACAGGTCCTGGACACACAGGGCAACTGGGACCAAGCAAATAGCTCTCAAATTCCCAAGAGCCCTCTGAACTGATAACGTCTAATCTCTGCTGGGTGAAGAGTGTGGAGTAGGCCGCACCTCGTCTCAGGCCGAACCCACCCTTAGGAAAGCAGGGTGGAAGAGTCTTTGGGCCTGGGATCTCTGGTAACAAGGCCCTTTTCAAGGCCGGGACAACTGCCCCACTGCCAGCAGGGCTCTGGGCATCTGTTTCCAAATACAATTCCTAGCCTGTTGGCACCATGGCCGCAGAGTGATCACCTGGAAGGGGATTAGCAGGTTCACTGTGTCTCCAACCTTGCGGATGTAGGTCTGCCTCAGGGCCCGAGGTAGCCAGATCTTGGGAAGCTCTGAGTGAGAGAGACAGAGAGAGAGGACTGAGCCTTCCCAGTGGGAAGATTCAACAGTGCCTCTACCCGCAAGCGTGGCCCAGGCATTTATCAGCCAATTAGCTCCCTTCCTTAGAAAATAGGAAGTTTACCTCCAATATGGGAAAGTCTGCTGTTAGGGACCTCTCTAAAGTACTGAAAAGCAATGGTGTCTCTTTGGAGACCAAGGTATGTCTGATACAGACCATGGTCTTTGCTATCACTTGTTATGCATCAGAGAGTTGGACAATGACTAAGGAGGATAGAAGGAGAATTGATGCCTTTGA